AATCGCGAGCGAAAGCTAGCAAATAAATAAGTATTAAATAAAATAAAACCCATAAACATTATCATAAAATTTTATATTTTCAGTTAATTCTCTCCCATCAATAGATGAACCAATACCGTAAGTAGTTTCGTGGTTTTCGATTCTTAAAACAGTGAATAAATTCATACCCTGAAAACTTTACATCTAAGAAATTTGTGCCAAAACAACATGTATGGTACAAATATATGTATAAATTGTCATTCAAATTTATTTAAATATTAATATTGAATTAAAAATATATGCATTAATTAAATAAGATTACATTAAATTCAGGAATCACCTTATCGCTGAATTGAAAGAGACAAAGAAGGAACGGAATGTAAAGACCACTGGATGCACGACAGGAATGGAGTTTCAAAGTAAGAACAAACTTCTCTAACCGTGTACTTCCACTGCAGAAACAACAATAGAAAAACATATGATCTTTTAAAACAGAATGAGCACAATGAGAATTTATTCTAAAAAAAATGTTACCAATGATCATGTTACTTACTTATGATTTCTAGAAACAACACTTAAAACCACTGGTGTTCCACTAACAGAGAAACTGCCTTATTTCTCACAACTAAACAAACTTACAAATATTGTACTATAGTTTGTCTAAAAAAAATTACGTACGGCTGTAGTAGTAATAAACATTTATTTACTCTCATTATTAATTTGAGAAAACAGTATTTTTTTATATTCATAAGTTATAACTATAAATCTATCGATTCCAACTTCTATAAGAATAAAAATCGAAAATCTATAACATTCATGACTGATTTTACACAACCCATCCCTACTAAAATTGAAATAAATTGTCAAACTAATCTAAATTATTTAGACACACTATAAGTAGTAGTAAGTTGTGCTAACAATGGCAATAAAAAAAAAGTTAGCGATGTATCGATAACGGTCATTTTGTCTTCAAACACATTTGAAATCTGCTTCCTATTGGTTTCTATGTCGTCGTCTTAATGCGTACATGACGTTCAAACGACTTTATCTTTAAAGTTGGTACACCGCTAAATTCCCCGATTGTACATTTCAAAATTACTTAACAAGTGTTAATCTTTCACAGAGATCGACAAATACGTTTCAGCAGTAACGAAAATGAAATCTACGTGAGTAAATTAAATCCACATAATTATGAATTGTTTATACTTTCGTAAAACGTAATAAATTAACTAAAACTGTTACTTTCTTGTAAACTCTTTGGTATCATTCAGACTGTTTGAGTGTTGTATATTTAAGTGTGTGTTTACACATTTTTAAACATATTTAATCTAGTTTATCTATATTAGTATTATAAAGAAGAAAGATTTGTATTTTTGGATTTTTTTATCTATTGAAATAACTCAAAAACTACTTGGTCGATTTCAAAAATTCTTTCACCATTAAAAAGCTACGCCATCGTTGAATAACACAGGCTACATTTTTTATAATTTCTTACTTTCACGCGGAGGAAGTCGCGAGCAATAACATAAAAGCCTTAATAAAAAGATTTAGAAAGAAATAAATACGTTTATTCAAAAAAAAAAGAAAAGGAATTAATTCCGCATGTACTGCGATGTACACTGAAGCGTCGGTTTTCAATGAATCCTAAAACAGAACACAGAGTTTTACAGAATAGAAGGCTGAAAATCAGCTCCTCGTGGCATTGGCCATGTGGTATACGCTGAGCCTGCAGCCCATTGTTATCATATATTTTTTTTGTTAAATATTTTCACTGTAAAGGGGTTTTTATTTTATTTTATTTTTAAGAAAAAAACATTTATTTACACAACTAAAGTATGAATTCTTTATACCAGATACAACGAATCGAAACATGCGATATTCGTATCGGATGTGGACACGTGTTGTTCGATAGATGAATTAAAGAGGAACTATTCTCGCGGCTGCAACAAGAAGAGCTCCTGCCACGGCCCCTGCAAGCCCAGCTCCAAACGGAAAGGAAAGAAATGCGTCGATCGATCGCAGATATTCCCCGAGAAATTGTCCTGTGGTATGTTTTAAACTTTCAGGATTTTGTTAAGAAACCTCAATAATACAATTAACATTTTTGGACTTTCTAGAATGTATTTTAATTTATTCATTGACATAGGAAAAAAATGTACAATGTAACTTCTTACTAGTTTATTATGAATAAGAAATTTTAGATGGGTGGATTAATGTTTGTAAGGCCCAAACGGTCGAAGGGATCTCGATGAAATCTGGCATAGTTGCTTTTTTTTTAATTCCTAGCGGATGGAGTCGCGGGCGAAAGCTAATAAAATACTTTGTTGGTTTTGCTTTTACCAGTCCCATATTACAATTTACAGTTTAAATATTATAAATTAGCTTTTTGGATTGATCAGAAAAAAGCAATACTTTACTCACACTGATCTGCATAAATTGATAAGCCATTACTTAGAAATGACAGCTATACTGTCAATTAGTCAGAGAATACCACATCATGCAGCCTGTCTATTTATGGAGGTCAGTGTTTTTGCACGTAGATAAGTCAAACTTTTATTTATGTTTGTTCCTTTGTGGTGATCTAAAATCTGAACGATTGAATCGATCAGTCAAGATTTTAGTTTTCTAAGTCACAAACAAGTTATAAAGTGTTACACATTTTCAGGAGTAGAGTCGAGACGTGAAGAGACTAGTACTAAAAGATTTCCTAGCGATTCGTAAGTACTTTTACTTCAGACATTCAAATAAAAAGACTGAAAATTTTTACAATTTTAATTTAGAAAATAGCATCTGCAAAGTATCTTGTTACTTGTTTTTGTTGTATTCTTTGTGATATAGACGGACTCGCGACCAAGAGTATAAACCGCGAGGTTGTGTGCCGTACAAACCGCCGCCGGGCTCAGCAAAGGACACATGCGAGAGGGGCAATTGCTTCCCCTCGCCATGTGATAGTGAGAAGAAATGCTGCGCAGATTCCAAGCCTGAAAAGTCGCTAAGACGTAAAGGTTATTAGCTAAATAGAAATTTTATTGCCACAAAAAACTGCATAAGACATCTTACACTAAACCTTAACTTAGCTAGTAAAAAAAAGAAATGTGGCAAAAGGTGGCAAGCTCAGCTAAGGCAGGGACGGCGCAGGATATTACTGCGCTGGTTTTCAGCTGGCCCCTTTCCCTTTACACATAAGTATTGACACATAGGTAGGGTGACTTAACCTAGACAGACAATAAAATTTACCAATATTATCTTGCCCTTTCCCCACCGAAGGGCACAGTATGCTACTCTTCCATACAATTCTACCAGTCATATCTGAATTCATTCACTTGAATATCCTCTTTCACACAATTTAATACTTTCTTCGGTCTTCCTCTATCTTTGAAGCCATCTATTGCGATTGTATCTCGACTAGACGAAAGCGAATCAAAACTAAAGAAAAAAAAGTCTAGCAGACACATAAGATATAGAATTTACTATGAAAATTTGCGTTCTGTTTGCACTTTTACCTTTATCGTGTGCCGGAAGTCTAAATTTCTTCCATTTTATTCACCCTTTGCTTATAAGTAAAGGAGAGAAAGGAGAAATTAAGCCTTAGTAAGAGAAAATACCCACTTTCTATGCGTCCACTCTTTATTCGATTACACATAGGCAACGCTTCTGCGTTTCTGGATGTTTTGGACAGGGATCGATTCACCATTTTGCCACATTCAAGTGGCTTACTGGTTTAGAAACTTTAGATATAAAAATTCTAATTATGTTTACTCATTTGTTTGTCGCAATGTCTTATTGCTAAGCGAGGACCCAATCCGGTCAGCACTGCATACACATTTCAATTGTTTTGTTTGTCCTGTTAATTACGTGTTTACTATTATTATTTTTTTAATTACTTTGTTGTGTGTGTGTGTGTGTGTTTTTTTTTTTCTCTTATTCCAAATTGTGTTGTAGTGGTGATAAGATTAAATGTTATTTTATTTTATTTTTTTATTTTATTTCAGATTCGGATAGACGCGTCACTGTAAATTCAAAAGTGAAAACAATGTAAGTCTAAATAGTTTTTTAACACTACGTGTCGGGTCTAGAACAATATCTACACGATTGAGTAAATAATAAATGTGTTGTTACAGAGAGCCACCTAGCCCTTGTCCTCCTGAACCTATAATGAAGAAATGTGAGGAAGAAACTGCACAAAGTAAGTTTGCAACAAAAGAAAAAAATCAGAATCTTTCATCATACTATAAACTAAATAAATAAATAAAAATAAAAAAAGGCTTTTTTTATACTATAAACTAATGATATATTTAATGTGAACGTTTGGGTGGATGGATTTTTGTTCAAATTATTAACGTATCTTTAAATGTTCTTGTTTGATGTGTAATATTTTAAACCTCTTTTCAGAAACCAGGGTTATTGAGGTGAAACCTAAAGAATCGATCAAGTCTATTACACAGTATGTAATTGTTTTGAATATTGCATTAAGTGTTAAGATAATGGAAACGTTATAAAGCAACCATCAGCAAAGTTATTAAGAATCATAACCCACATTTGCAATTTCAGACATCTGTACTATTGTAATAAAGCGTAAACACACACTTCTTTGTTGCCTAAGATGTCAGCAATTACAGTATATTTTTGAATATTTATTTTTTTAATACAAAGCCCTACACTTACGTCACGCTTTAGGCTATATATTTCAAGGCCATTAAATTTAGGTCGTAAATATTTTGGAAAAAAGCCCTAATGTGGGAAAGAGACCATAAGATGCAGCCAACATCAAGGAAGCAAGGTTGTCATCATGTCATGTCATTGTGACATTTGTAATTGATAATTTCACAAATGTAAACAAATTTATAATTTCATGCGGGTGAAGCCGCACGGGAAAGGCTAGTCTACGATATAATTTGTACCATTCAATAATCTACCTAAAATAATGGATTTCTTTCTGTCCAACTATTATATTTAATATTAAAGAAACTTATATAGCAAGTTTTAAACAAATTACCAAAGCTAATAAAGTGTTTATTTTCACAGAGAATGTGGATGTACTGGGGCACCTCCAGCACCACAGCGATCAGTATCAAAAGAAAAACCTAAAAAGAAAGTAGACAAATCATCATCAGCGCACAGAGTAAAGAAACCACATACAGACGAATGTAAACCAAAAGCAAAACCGATACCAACAATCAAACCTAAACCGGCTTGTGAAGAGCCATCGAAGCACAATATTAAAAATACCGTTGTATCGGATACTAAGAAAACATCAACAGATAGAAGAAGAAGACGGGACGATGTTAGAGGGACTAAAATTAATACGTCATTAAGTGATACACAGACCTCTAGAGCAAGGCTCCGATCTTCGTCCAACGATAGTCGTATGCGACCACCATCGAGACAAACATCGAAATTAAGAAATAAATCAGCACCGTGCAACTATAGGAAGCCAGAAAACGAAAATAACGTGAAAAATAATGCAAAAACAGTACCTTCTAAAGAAACTACACCGTCTAAAGGACCTTCAGAAGAAAAAATACCTGTTAAACCAAAATCTGATTCGTGTGAACCTAAAGTGTGTAGTGATACAAGGAAGATTGTAGCAACGACACGTGGTAAGTCTTATTAATATAACAAATATGCTTAAGAAGATAGTGGATTCAGATATGACGGCTGATAGAAATGTATGGAAGCACATATTGTGCAGACCCTCCTCAGTAGGGACAAGTTCTCTTAAGATATCAGGCAGTTCTGACTTAGCTACATTAAAATTTAATACGTATCATATCTATATGATATATTATTTACTGACTTTTAGTATGGGTTTTAATAGTAAACGAGCTCTTCTCGTGAGGCTTCGTCGGTAAAAAATTTTTAGAGCTTTATTTTATTGTATACATTTGTAAAACTTTCAATTGCAAATATCCAAATTCAGATGCAAAAATGACAACAAAACCTTTGACATCTTGCTTCTTTACTGTTATTGGCTTGTAGTTTTTTTTTTTTAATTTATAAACATCATAAGTTAGCCTAAAGCGTGACGTTAGTGTAGGTCTTGTTAATGAAATGAGTAGTATTCAAAAATATACTGTGATGCTGACATCCTGAGTAGCCAATATTATACACTTGCTGCTGCTTATTAAAATGGTACTTGGAACTTCGTTCCACTGCCCCAAATCTAAGTAATCTTTGAACTTTAGTTAACTTTGATAATTTTATTTCATGTGCAGACGTTGCTGTAGACATAAGATGTCCGATCTGTACGTGCGCCACACAATGTCACGGCACGCGATGCTATCGCAGCACTGATATTATAAATCCAAACTTGAAAGGTAACTTGTATATTTTACTATAATTGTAAGAATCATTATTATTAAGATAATTCGTTTATTTAAGTGTTGCTAATCGAATTTTAAATTGAGATAAGGTTTTTTAAACAACAAACGCTATGAACATATTGTGTATATTTTTGAAGTTTCAATGTAAAGGGTTATTTCTAATTGAATGAAGTAAATTTTATAATAGAATTATATTATTGTATGCATAAAGTTGGTAAGAATAATAGCACCAATGTTTGCATTCAAAATTCAGTAAAGAAAGAAGAAGTGGAAAGCCAAGATATCTCTTTGGAGGACGATGCACTATTCAGCGATTATACAAGCGAAGAAATCACTGACACCACACTACAATCGCGCACAGTATGCAGTAGAGTAGCTATAGAATATTGCGAGAAAGTGCCAAAACTTAAACATCCTTGTAAAACTTGTTGCAAATCTATTGAAAAAATACGAAGAATAAAGAAAGTCAACAAAGGGACATGTACCAAATCGAGGAGATTAAAGGACGTGGGTACGATAACGAAAGCCTGCAAAAGTGATCAAATACAGAGGAGATGTTGCAGGAGAAATAAGGGTATTTGCACGGAAGGGAAATTGGTCACATTTAAAAGTTGCACACAAATAATTCCACCTTGTAAGTGAACTTCTTGAAATAATTCGCATTCGCTGTTAACAATCCCTAAGTCCCGTCATGAATATAGAAATTGAATGCTTGTTCGAATATGACAGATGTTATACGACTAAAGCGAAACAACATTTTTAGTTAGTTTGTTATTCTCTTGTTTTATATGTTCTTGTTTTAATTTCCATAAAAGTATATTAACCATTAATGTATGAAATTACTTCACATTTTCACAATTTTTAACGTGTAACTCGAGATTCGAATAATATTGTCAAAAAAAATAATTTAGACGTATCATAATAGAAAGTCAAGGAAAAATGATATTATCTACAAACGAGGAAGAAGTTATTCAAACAAAAGAAAAGTGCAGTTTCTTCAATAAACAAAGATGACTGTTTTTCGGACACTTTTAATAAGAAGTAGTTTTAGTGTTTTGTAGATTTAGCGTTCCATGTTTTTGACCAGTTTTTAGCTTTTTAGTAAGTAATTATATGTAATTCTCTTATATCAAATGGAAATGCATGTAGGAAGAATAAGGCTTAATAAAACAATAATTTTAAGGTGGTAAAAACATAGTGGCTTAGTGACCATTTCGGTTTTAATAAATTCGAATTAAATATTTATCTTGAGGTTTTATACGACTATAACACAAGAGCAATCATAATTGGTCCCAACTCACCTCCTTGGGGGATGCCATATGTAGATGATGATTATACGGTGAGTTAAGATTGAACAACACGTGTATTTAACTGAAATTAAACATATAACGATATGTAAAAACTTTTGTTATTGTCTTAATTATTCATTATTGAGATAAGAGTAGATTTATATAAGCAACTGTGTAAAAAGCAAATGAAAAGTTATGGAATCATTTAATATATCTGGGAGTAAAACAAGACGTTAATAAAACAATTAGAACCCGAAGAATAATTATAATATTGAAGGAAAAAAATTCGGACTTAAAAAAGGAAAGACGTGCAAATGTTTATTGTGGAGATGATGCAATGCAATGAAAATACAAGTGCATGTAAAACGCATAGAGTAGTAGAAGTAAACTGGACTACTGCAATCAAAGACATGAAAAGACTGGAAAACATATAACATACTAAATAAAGGATATTTCACTAATAAAAGTTCAATAGTTATGTCAGTACTGCACTGTCTTTTACGAAACTAAATACAAATGCATATCTTTAATACAAAAAAAAATGTTGTTTCGCTTTTCATCGTATAATATCTGTCATTTTAGGGTTCCGTATAATTTCACGTGTTATTTGTCCGACTGTCTGTTTTAATATTGACAATAGAATACCTTTTTTTCTTCACATCAGGCAGTTCTGACATAGCTACGGAACCCTGTATTGAAATTAACAAATTTTAATTCATGATTTATCATATTTTCTCTGTAAACCCTAATGCTTGTAGCAATTTTTTTGTTTCGAAAATAGTAAATTGGACCAATATTTTTCAGGTTGCCGTGACATTATGTCGCCTTCAAGGTATCTACTAGAGGTTCGTTTTATTTTGTCTTTATTAACATGACTAGCTCTCGTCCGCGACTCCACCCGCGTGGAATTATAAAACAAAAGCGATTATGTGTTCTTCCAGACTATCCTCTACATCTATGCCAAATTTCATCGAGATCTGTTCAACCATTTAGGCTACAAACTCTAACAAACATCCATCCATCGCAAGGGCGGATCCAGCTTTGGTGGCAGGAGGGTCACATAGACAGAACCTTTTTATTATAATTTATTATTAGTGTGATGAATTGTGCTCTTTCGTTTCGTATTTTAGAATACGTAGGGTCTACACTACCCCTCTTAACTTTGACTTGTAGAAAAATCAATTTATAGTTGGATGTCTACGCTCCATATTTGATATTGATTTATTATTTTCAGTCTCAAAGGCATTACAATGAAATGTTCTCTTCGAAGTATCTCCACACGAATATGTGCCCTGCATTTGTGGTAAGTTTTTTAGTTTCTGTATTTTTTAGTATAATTTAGTCTCTGATAATTTTGACGTTTACTATTTATCTTACTTAGCCCCTGTCCCACCAAATTGTAAAATATCTGATAACAATCCAACATGCCAAATTTGTTATGGAAATGTCGGATTTTGTTACCTTATCTAACAGTGACGTAATTTTTAAGCTGTCTGAACCTCTATCAGCCAGTGGTGGGACAGGCCCTTAGACTGCTTTTAGTATTTATAATGTCTATTTTACAGTCTCCAAAGCAAGGCGGTTTTTGTGCTTCAAAGGTCAAACGAAACTCGCAAAGAGGTGAGTATGAGAAATTAAAATTTTATTATTAACTGTTTCTATGATGTAGCCAATTCCCCTTCCCATCCTTTTCTATTAGGGAAGGATGGGAAGGGGGTTGGAATACATTAGGTAGATAAGTCAGGTTGAATGATGTTATAAAATAATTACAGGCTACAAGGTAAAGAAGCCGGAACACCATTCGTTGCGGCGGCAGGTATTGTTGAATCGAATATTTGCATTACTTCCCTTCCCCGTGAAATCTATTGCGAAATCTCTTATGTATTCTAATATACGTTTAGGTCCTGTCCCACCAAATTGTAAATTGTCTGATAACGATCAAACGTGGAAAATGTGTGATGGAAATATCGGATTTTGTTTCCTTATCTGACAGTGACGTCATTTTTAATCTATCTGAGCCTCTATCAGCTAGTAGTGGGACATGCCCTTATCTCTCTTTAAAATATTTATTAGAACTCATGTGATAGAGCTATCTCATATCATAAAAAAAAACAAAAGTGAGTAGGCCTATGTGTTCTTTTAGACTGTCCTCTATGTCTACCAAATTTCATCGAAATCTGTTCCGCCGTTTAGGTTACAAACTCTAATAAACATTCATCCATCCATCTAAACTTTTGCATTTATAATACCAACTAGTATGATTTAGAATCTCTTTGACCCAAATGATTTTGTTGTTTTAAAGACAAGTCCAAGAGTGAGTGAAGACCGCACAAGATCTGATGATAGCACAAGACCTGCCATCAGGCTGTTGAAAGGAATGAGACGATATAGACTAAGGTGAAATTTAATTTACAACGACCATATTGGCACATCGGATAGAAGAGTCTGCTTGTGTTTGACGTGCCAAATCGAATATACCAAACACGGTTACTGTATGTATTTAAATTTCCTGTCTTGGCGTGTTTTAGAAGAGACAAACTGTTGAATACGTTTTCATAGGAAAGAGGTAGAAAGATCTAGAATTCTTTTACTTCATAGTGATTTTCTATAAAGTTGTAATGCTTTGTCTTTGACCAAATTATTAAACAACTAGCTGTTCCCGTGCGACTTCATCAGCATGAAATTATAAAAAAAATATTTTATTGTTTACATTTGACAAATTATCAATAGCAAATGTCAAAGTGACATGACATGACAAACCTTGGCAATCTTACTTTCTTGATGTTGGCAGCAACTTATGGTCTCTTTCCTACATTAGGGTTTTTATCCAAAATATTTACCCCCTTAGTATAATGGCGTGAAAATATATAGCCTAAAGCGTGACGTAAGTGTAGGGCTTTTTATTTAAAAAAGAATTATCAAAAAAATATGTTGTAATTGCTGACATCTTAGGCAACAAAGGAGTGTGTGTTTACGCTTTATTATAATAGTATAGATGACCTACTTCAAGCTTATTTGCTTTTATTTCCCTAAATGCTATTTATTTTTCCGCTGCGCTTTATAACTCTGTATATATGATTAAATCAAAAACAATGTTGTTTTAATGGTCGATGTAATCGGCTGGTAAAGCCGCACGATACATTGGCACGGCACGTCGCGTGTCCGACATAGAGATCAAATTTATCTGACCCGGTGCATAAATAAAACGAAATTACAATAGTTACAGGCTTGTAGGACTTTAACTGTCTTGTCATATGTAGCTTTCTTTTATTTTCAATGTCTTTTTATTGTTTTCTGGCAGAATAATATTAAAACCGCCTCATCGGGCCAGATAAGTTTGCAGCACTATACGATATAAATGTACATTCACGTAAACAATTGTTTTCGCAGAAACGAAGCTAAATTAAACGCTGTGCGGAAACAAAAATGGCAAAGGCATGAATATGAAAGTCCCACAAACAAAATTTTAACGGTTTGTTTATTTTTTTTTATATGAGTAATAATTGTTTATTTAGTTGTAATGTAAAACCTAACCTAAAACTAGTTATATACGCTCAGTTCTCACAATTTTTACAGTTAGACTAGTAAAAACACTGCATGTGTAGGCAAAACTTGATTTTTTAACTGAAATAAGTTAAAACTGTGGAACTAGTATTGTACTATGTCTGGAATTATTTAATTTTTCAAAATATTGGTAAGGTGTAACGCATATAAAGCATCGAAAGGTTAATGGGTCAAGATTAGGTTATTCTATAATTTTTAGGTTATGTCGTAACTCAAGACTTTCTATTTGAAAGTTTTCGATACCTTACGTATATGGGAATTCTTTTTTTACAGCAATCACAGCAAAATTTATGTCTACAATACGGTGCTGCCGAAGACAGTAAGTGTCAAACACCAAAGCATTTTCCTATTATGAAGCAAATGCTCGTAAAATGACTGTGATGCAATGAAATGTAAACTTTTTTTTCTTCCTTTTCAGAAAGTAGCAGTTTAGCAGGGCACTGCAATTCTGCAAGTAGTTTTTGACGAATGATTGTTTTTAGTGCTGTTAATTTTGGTGTCTTTACTGGGCGTTGCAAATAAACATGTATTGTTTTGTTTAATTTGTGTTTTTTTTTATAATCCTATCAACGGTTTACTAAAGTGGTCGTAAGTCCGATTTTCAATTGTTTAAATCCAGGACCTATATTTAGAATCACCTAGAATCGTTTTGCAATAAACAGTAACACTACAAGCTTTTCAATGTGTATATAATTTTAAGATGTATAAGGAAAATCAAAGAATTAAAAATACCAGATGTTAAGTAATTATAACCAATAGGCTGTGTTAAACCATTGCTGGATGTACACTTTCCTTAATACCATCTAAAATTCGTGGCCTTCCGTTTTCCGTATCCAGCAACTTTCATAGAGACGCTTGCCGCATTAGGTAATCGATCAAAGGGATGAAGCTCCACGCTACTGATCGCCATTCTTGAGTTTATATTCCAGTATTTTGTCCTACAATCTGACAGCACTGGCTTGACAGATGTAATAAGCTTTTATAGTCTGTGCAAATAACATGAAAAACAAGGGTACAGCCCTAGCGTCAAAGTTGTTTTGTTTATGTGTCACTTTGGTGTCATTTGCAATTATACGAATCTGTACATGTACATTTTGCAAAACTCTTTAATGCAAAAATGTGCGATATAAATGATATTCCAATTAAATTAAGTGTTAAATGGAATGGAAAGGAATTTGATATACCGGAGCTGTCGCCATCGGATTCCGTAGCAATGCTAAAGATTGCAATCGAAAATGCCACGGGTGTTCGACCGGAAAGACAAAAACTACTCAATGTTAAGTTTGAAGGTAAAACTCTATTTTATTTTGATATAAATCTTACTATTTTAGTACATCCTTTCGAAAAATGTATTTGAAAAAATGATACTTATTTTAAAAAACATAAGTATTCAACCAAAAAACCGCACTTCTACCATAAAACATTTTATAATGTAATCTTTGCATAAAACATGTATGTAATGTATCTTACATTAGTTGAAAGTTAAAAAACTCAATCCTCATTAAGTACTTAACTAAAACTAGTTTTTAAGTCATAGAAATTGAGAAGAATGAGGTTAAATGTTACTTATGTACTAATCACATTACTATACATATATTGTAATATTATGGTACTAGTTTTTGCCCGTAACTCTTGCCGCGCGAAATTTAAAACACAATCTTATGTGGTATGTAGCTCATCAATTCTTCCAGGCTATGTTCTACATCTATGCTAAATTTACTTGTGATCTATTGAAGCATTCTGCAGATTCTAACAAACATTCATCCTTTCAATGTTGAGATGGATGTTTGTTAGAGTTGACTGCTGTACAGATATTGATAAAATTTGGCAAAGATGTAAATCATAGTGGTAGATGCATAGGCTTCTTAATATGGTTTTATTTTTATTCCAAAAAAACAAGTGGTGATGAAATCTACTTTATAATGTTACTAGCTGTTCCCGTGTGCCTTCATCCGCATAAAATTATGAAAATGTTATTATTTACATGTGTCAAATTATCAATAGCAAATGTCAAAATGACGACATGATGTCAAACCATGGCAACCTTGCTTCCTTGATGTTGGCAGCAACTAATGATCTCTTTCCCACATTAGGGTTTTTATCCAAAATATTTAACCCATAATCACATCACACATCTTAGGCAACAAAGAAGTGTGTGTTTACGCCTTTTTATAATAGTATAGATAATATTAGTAAGAATGATGCATTACAGTTGAGAATTCCATTATTGTTAAAATTGTTACAGGTAAAGTTGCTAAAGACAACTGTACTTTAGCAGACTTAAATCTGAAGCCAAACTTGAAGATAATGATGATGGGTTCTCTGGAGCAAGCTATAGAAGGTGCTCGGACTAAGCCCGATGTCGGAGATGATGTTGTCAATGATCTGGATATTGAGGAAGAAGAAGTTGATGTTGAAAACCAAGAGGTTTGTTAAAATATTCCATCAAGCTAATTTTTAAAAAATAATGTTTGTTTTTTTCATAACTATAAAGGTGGTAAAGCAAGCGATATTATAAATTGCTGTGATCTAACACAAACAAAATATTGTATCATTCTCTTTAAAAAAAAACTTTAAAGTATGTTTTTGTTTAATAATATAAAAACCATAGATTATAGCATGTTTTACTCTAACAGCCTTACAAATAAAAGCAGTTTAAAGTTAAACTTAGGAACAAACTGATAATCAGCAAAATTTGTACTAATATTTGCTACTCTGTTTATTCCTAATTTTACACCTTGTTTATTTGTTAGGCTGTAAGAATTTATTGCTAAGTTAATTGTTCATAACCTGGTAAATTCTGACCCTTGTATTCAATGTTTATTTCTGTCATTTCAGATATATTTAGCTAAAATAAACAAGAGAGTTCGTGATTATAAGATTAATATATTGAATGAACCAAGGCCTGGGAAAAAATTACTAGTTCTTGATATTGACTACACATTGTTTGACCATAGATCTGTTGCTGAAACCGGTATGTTTTATTATATTACTGTTTATTTTAATGAAGACCAACAGCAATTTCATGCATGTTTATTTTGTACAATTATACAACCAATGATGATAGGTCCTCACTAATAGAAATATACAAAAATATTCATGTGCTATTGAACAATAACAAAACAGAAAGTTAAACATTATAAAGTACTAGATATTCGCATGCGGCTTCATCCTCATGTAAAATTAGTTATTTATTTTTAATTATTGCCTACATTTGTGAAATTTTTCTTAGATATCCACAATTGTAGATACATTACCTACATAATTGACAAAGGAGATGACACCCAGAAATATGATGTTTTTGCTTCCTAATATTCTCACAAATTCTTTTTCCTTTTATATCTTACTAGCTTTCACCCGCGACACCGCCCGCGTGTTATTAATAAAGCAAAAGTAAATAGCCTATGTGTTCTTCCAAACCATCTACATCTATGCCAAATTTCATCATAATCTGTTCAGCGGTTTAGGCTACAAAATCTTACAAACATCCATCCATCTAAACTTTTTCATTTTTATTGTTAGTAAAATATGAAAACGCTAGGAAGGGAAAGAAATATCCATCCTAAGTTTGGCATATTTTTGATTCCTAGGCTATGAGCTGATGAGACCTTTCCTACATGAATTCCTTACATCAGCTTATGAGGACTATGACATAGTGATATGGTCTGCAACTGGTATGAAGTGGATAGAAGAGAAGATGAGACTGCTTGGAGTGTCCACTCATCAGGATTACAAGATTATGTTCTATTTGGATTATTTAGCAATGATAACAGTACATACAACGAAATATGGTACTATTGATGTAAGTTATCATTTTTAATTTTTTTATTTATTATGATCATAATGCTAGGTAACGCTCGGTTTCTAAAGTCTCCATTTATTTTATCATTATCTAATGATTTGTTAGTGTTAGGTTGACATGTTTGAAACAGAGTTAAACTAACGTTTCTTAGTTTAGGAATGCATTTCATGAACTTTTCAAACCAAAAAAACTAACAAATATTTAAATGTAACTGGGAAATCGGCCATGAGTGACAAATGTATTGCCAAGTAAAAAATCTTGCCATAGTATCTTACCTTTTAGTTAAATATAGATACCATTTATACACACCAGTAAAATGAAATAATTCTATCATGTAAAGCTTAAATTTTGCCATGTTTGTTCTTACATAATAGATTAGGTAACTCAGTATGAAGTGTAATTTTTTTTTAAATTTCAGGTGAAACCATTAGGTGTAATCTGGGGTAAATACCCTCAATATAGTCCAAAGAATACAATAATGTTTGATGACATCCGAAGAAACTTCATCATGAATCCGAAAAGCGGTCTTAAAATCAGACCATTCAGACAAGCCCATCTAAACAGAGACAGAGATAGAGAATTACTCCATTTATCCACATATCTGAGAGAGATAGCGCAATACTGTGATGACTTCGACCAGTTGAATCATAAGAAATGGGAAAAATACAAGCCTGATAGGAATAGGACTCAACTTGCGGGTAGTAAGAGAAAAGCTGAAGATAGCGCTCCGAGTACGCCGAGAGAATGACGGTATTTCACAAACTGACGGGCAAGTCAAACTCGAATCGCCTTATCGCTTAGAAGACTGCAATATTTTTACAATTATAGATAATGAGAGCCGTTCGCAATAATTATCTTAAAAATATATTTAGTTTGCGACTCGTTTAATAATTACAAAGTTTATTGAAGTAGCAGATCTTAAATATGCATTTAATAGGCTTTTCTGATGAACAAGGAAATATTAATACACCAAAATTTCGTCTTCCTTATAGACTTCCCAGGATGGCTTTTTTAATGCTTTTTCTCTAAAATTAAATGAAAAAATTCGAGAACGCAAAAAACAAGTTCATTTTAGATACCCTATTAAATTGAAGATAAACTAAATGTAATAAAATTAAATCTTACATAAAAAAAGCTTGCTTAAAGCCATAGATAATTTGGAGTTAAAAAAGGGTTTTCAAATACCTCTTGTTAAGGAAATTCCCTTAAGAACACTATATAATAAAAATGTCATTTAAAAATCGATGCTCTTAGTCGTCAAAGTTGTATTAAATAATTATATTAAATTAAACCATCTTTTCCATTTTTAATAGCTTAATTAATTAGTTTTAAGTATTTTTCACCAGTAATATAGTCAATAAACTGCACCTTTGAATAAAGCAATGTGAAATAAATATGACATTGTATCGTAATCCTTAGTTTTACTGTTTTTCAAATATATAAATGTAAATGTTAACCTTTTCGATTTTTTATGGCAATTTCAAAGTATATTTATGGCAACATCATACTTGTTAATGTCAGAATTTTAAGTTATTTTTAAATGCTTACATAATAGTATTAAATTAATTAAAATTATTTAATAAATGGTTTTTAATAAAGTCATGACAATAATTGTAAATTCAAAATTATTTTCTTTCCTCTCCGATAAATCCTTTTACGAATTCTTGACAAAATACTTAATTCTTCTAAAATTACTACATTTCTCTGCAGTCTCTATGCTTCATAACCTCAAACATTTTCAACTTATTATTTATTAGGCTGAACAAACTTTTAAGCAATATAAACTAAGGGCAAGCATTTAATGCATTGTATTATTATTATAACTGGCAACTTTGTCACTAAAAAAATGCTCCTTGTATATTAGGAATAATTTAACAGTAAATTAGAATAGAGATATTTATAAATGATTAAAATAAAGTATTGAGTATAAAAAATTGCATTTTTATTTACTAGCATTTTATTTGTACAAAAATCTTGGAGGTCTCAAATTAAATCTTATTATAATACACATCATCATGTTTTCGTAAACGTCTTTCTTAGAAATTCTTGTATTTTTCAATTTGTTGATCACAGCTTCTTATACAACTAACTTATAAAGATTAAAAAAAAATAGCACATTTAACAGTTATTCGATAGGTAAATGAAAATCTTACGAAACTAAAGTAAGGCACTTAAAGTACAACTACATCATATACATATAAAACACTGAGAATTAAAACTGAATACATAAACATACCTACGTATATAAAAATATTAGTAGACATAACATTAAAAGCATATATCAAAATAATCGATAGTAAGAAAAATACATAAATCACTAGCAACCATAGGAGAAACATAGTTTTTTTAGAGTTAGATATTGTTCTAAAATTTTATAAAAGAAATAAAAAACAGATTACTAGTCTCTGTTTAAATTTAAAATTTATCATTAGCTAAATTGGATTTACGCTGATCCACAGGCAGCACAACATTCGAGACAAATTTGACTAGCTTCGCAAGTACCAGTAAGACATTCACACAAACAATTCTCGTAGCAACAAGCCGCGAAACACGTTACTACAATATCCATACAATGAGCACAAAATGTGCACAAATCCAACGGACACAAACAGCACTCATTCATGTTATTTTCACTTTGAATATTTCTGTCACCATCTTGTTGATTTTCCCGCGCTTTCACAGGTTGACAGGTTATAACATCAGTTTGAGTTTTCCCCGGTTCAATTTCAACTGCACTGGTTAAAGGCACTCGAATACTTTCGTCGACAGTATCGGTTGATGTCATTTTACAAAAACAAATATAAAATTCAGCTGGTAAATTAAATTTTAACCATTTTTAGAGCAACAACCGTAGGCACAGACGTCGTCGATCTCAAAGGAGTGAATATGTGCTTTACGAGTAAATCGGTAAACCAATCAAACGTTTATAGAACGAGATGACTGTTACAAAATATTTTATTTATAGCGTTGTGACGTTCCCCGCCTATTAGATTATTGTTTTTATGACGTAATATTCTGTTATGGATCTAGCTTTTAAATTATGAGGTAGGATTTCATGTAAATGTTTGGTTTAATTATAAATTCAATATGTTTTTAATTTTATGTATTCCAATCTTTTTTTAAATATTAATTTCAAATTTACCAGCCAATGTATATTGAACATAAGTATAGGAATTTATATTATTCTATATATTTCAACAATAATCTTGACGATTAGTATACAAATAGATTAATAGCTTTTATTAGGCAATTAATTAGAGATTCGTGTACGTCGTAGCTCTCTCGCTACCGTAGACTCTTAGGTAATGACACTTATTAGCTGCGAATCACGCCCAGTCGGAAGTACTTTGTTTGATATCAGTTTTTTTCTATTCCACTGGTGCAGCTATTCGCTTGGTGGAAATAGGTATTAACAATACTCTGACTTGTGTGTCCTTCAACCATCACTGACAGCTGACAGGGACAGGCATTAAAAATTTAAAATGCAAATGCAATGCAAACAGGATTCATTCATTTTTATTTATTGGTGTTGCGTGATTGCGTATTGGTTGAGTTTTGGAGCAAAGATAAATAAAATGACGCACAAAATTAATAATACACTTACGAATTGCATTATAAATTAACCAATGATTATCAATTATCAGTAAACGGTTTGGTTTTGAGCTCATCGGTATTAACATACGTGCAAAGTTCTACTTAATTACTCGGAGTGAGGAAAAAGTCAGAAGTTTGTTTTAAATTTAGTTAGTGGTAAAAAGTTGTGAGTTTTAAAACAAAAAACAACGTAATCGAATTAATTTTAAAATGACAGAAGTTATAACTTCTCAACCAACATTTAACAACACAAACGCGTTACATGACGATCCTCCTCGTTACGAAGATGTGATTTCAACACAGCCTCACCGTAATGAAAGGATTCAAAATATTAATACAGATGAACAAATAGAGGCCACAAATATGGAAAACGACATCAAAACAGATAACGTAAATCAAGAACAAGAGAATGAAGAAGAAAGAAGACGTAACAGGAGACAAGCAGATGATTGTTGCTGTATTTATGTTGGTGGTGATGATTGTTTCCTTTCAAATTGTTGTATAAGCATAGGTAATTGTACTGAATCTTGTTGCGAAAGTTGTGGTGACTGTATACATGAGAGTTGTGAATCTAATGATAGTGGTCAGAATGATGATAGTTGTTGTGTTGGTTGTTGTAATGACGATAGTGGTCAAAATGATGATACCGGTTGTGTTGGTTGTTGTGATGGTGATAGTGGTGGGAATGATTGTTCATGTGATTGTAATTGTTTTGATTGAATGAAAAATAACCCATTCAATTTAAATAGATTTATCTTAAGATACATTATATGAAATGTGTTCATATATATCTTTACAAAGGGTTTAAAATGTGTAATGCAAGTTTTATATGATTTAGAATTTTAATAAGTTAAATCTAATATAGTATATCTCACTCAACACAAAATTGTGCCAAATTCAATAATGTGACTATTCATAAGTTATTTTTTACTTTTTACATTCTTATGATAGCTCATCTGATAATTTTCATTACTACATAAAACATTATTTTTTAATGCTGACATCCAATATTTTATATAAAAGACTAACAAAATGGACAATATATTTCTATAAAAGTGGTAAAGCAGTCATGTTAAATGGTTGTAGGAAATACCTAGGAAAGACCTCAAGTAAAACAGCCTTGAAACTCATCAATTTGTTAATATTAGGAATATGTAATAAATTATTCTTTGTAAGAATAACAACATAGTTTACCTTATGTCTATAAAGTGTAATATTGATAAAACTTTGTATTTTTAATATAGAAATACAAAGTTTCCTCTAACAAGTTACATGTACAAAATGTTTACTTAAATGTACTTAAGATATTCAGTTTTGACAAAACTTTAGATATTTATGCTTTTACCTGTTTTTATATTACTTTACTATTGTGTACATCTTTTTAATAAGGTACATAAATGTTTGTGAAAATTTAATTCTTATAACAATATATCTTGCATTTGGTCTTACATTGTGCCAAATTTATAAGACTGTTCTAGATTTTAAACTATTTAAGACCGGTCCCACAATATGTGATGGAAATATCAGATTTTGGTACTATTTGACTGTGACGTTATTTTTTATCTATTTGAGCCGGTGATGAGACAGGCCCTTAGTCTTACCGCTTTACTGACTGAGTTCAATAGAAGTTGTTCTTAGAACTTAACTCTGGATGCAGAAAATAAGTTTTTGAGTATGAGAGATGTCACTAAGCAACTGTCCAAGTAATCTAATATGAGACTAATTGTTAGTAACTACTGAACAATGTTTTATAGTGATTTTATTACTATTTTATTATATTTACGACCACTTCTTAAGAATAGAGTATTTTATTAGTGTTTAATGGATATAATGGTAGTTTAGTTGGTGTTTTATAAATTTTATGGATGGAAAATTTACAAATATAAGATAAAATGATCTTACATTGTAAAGATTGATTCACTTAGTGTTTGGATCTTGCAATTCTCAAACAGTATACTTGCAACTGTACTTACAACTTGTAAACTCTTGTAACATTTAATATATTTTATATGTTTTTATGGACAAAAGCCTACAAATTGTCAATCATGTGTTCAAATGTTGTAACAACTCAACCATTATCTAATAAATCAGAAAATACAATTTCTGATGAAAATAATTATGGAAAAATGAATACCCTTTGTATTCAAGATATTGACGAAAATAATCAAAGAAATTCCAATAACTATTCCAAAGAAGAAAGTAATAAAGAAATTATTGATAGAGAAGAAGCAAGTGATAGTTGTTTTTTTAATCGATTTATTTCAAATTGTTGTCAATTTGGCAATTGTGGTCAGAATAGTTGTTGTGGTGATACCCAATGTGATTGTGTATGTTTATATCGTGATTGTTGTAAATGTAGTAGTATCACTAATAGTGATAGTTGTTGTCAATGTGATTGCATTTGTTTTAAAAATATATAAACTTACTATCTCAATTTTTGTAAAGCATTGTTTAAGAGGAATCAAAAAGTAATGATTGGATGAAGCTACTTAATTTTTATTTCATTTATGTAAAAAAGTAAGTGAATCTGCGTTATTATATTACTTTATACGTAATATGAACGTCTGTTAATTTTCATAGTAAAGTTATCGTCTTATATGTTTTTTTATTTATGTCTTGTTTGTAGAGCAGTTTTCTACATTATTATTGTGATATATAAATAAATATACAAAATTCAACCTGTGTTTCAATCGTTAATTTAAAAATACGTACAAGCGCTTTTATGACGCGCGTTAAAAAGTGACCAAAACCTAACAAATGATTATCTATGTAGATATCGATTGATACGCTTTCAACGATTTTAATGCGTTAAGAGCCAGTGTCAATTGCGGAATCAAAAC